GACAATTACACTGTACCTACGTGTACATTAGTAACATTGATACTTTCACTCAGACAATTACACTGTACCTACATGTACATTAGTAACATTGATACTTTCACTCAGACAATTACACTGTACCTACGTGTACATAAGTAACATTGATACTTTCACTCAGACAATTACACTCTACCTACGTGCACATTAGTAACATTGGTACTTTCACTCAGACAATTACACTGTACCGACGTGTACATTAGTAACATTGATACTTTCACTCAGACAATTACACTGTACCTACGTGTACATTAGTAACATTGATACTATTTCTCAGACAATTACACTGTACCTACGTGTACATTAATATTATTGGTACGATGCAGCTTTACTAACATAACAGCTAGTGATCCTTTATTCATTTCATTATACTTAAACCTTCCGTTTTAACATTCTTTCAGGACGGTTTCCATACAGGACTGATTAAGAGGAAATGACTTAATACCCGAATTCCAGGAATCTAACAGCAGTGACTCGTTACGATCAGGATTAATTGGTGCTGTAGGCATTCAATCCATCGGTCTTCATATAGGAAATAGGAGAAAACATCTTCACTCTAAGTTAGCTATTGTCCTTTGATATAGATATTTAATTCATACATGAATCTGCTTTTATAGGAACTAGCCGGAAAGCAAGCACTTCAAGAGATTTCGTCGACAATGCACACCTCAATTGTGAGGGTAGAGTAATTGAAACTGTATCAAGCAGAACGCTACGAAATAGATAAGCACCGAAGTCCTGGAAATATCGAACCCGGTAATAGCCAGTATTCGTATCAAAATGGAAACCTTACCGGACATTGTCTCTCGCACAATTGCTTTACCCCAAGAGGGCCATAAACTCCCCATATCCATACTTAACATGGCGTCACGACGGAAACTCGCCGATATGTTAAATCCTGAGAGAGAACTTGATGACAGCCTGGAACTGATTCCTGATTATAGCGGTCTGGCAGAGCTCATAAGCTTTATGTACAATGAAATACTTGGGTTCCAGAATGCGGAGAGCCCTACACACGCTCTTCTCAATGAATGGGAGAAACACAATGATAAAAACCCGTGTATAGGACAGCTATGGGTCCATTTAGAAAAACTACAACGTGTAGACGTCATGGAAGAAAGCATAAAATACATAAGTAAGTATCACTTCGTACCTTCTTAGTTTTCCACAAAACCACTTAATCGAGGGAATGCAATGGTGATTTACACGAATTATATCTGATATTACATAAGTTCAAAGAACTAACATATTCCTGAAGTTACAGAATTCACCGTTGAGGCCTCGTCAAACGGGGCTTAGCAAGCTCATTTGATTGTGATGTCGTAATTGTTTAGTCCTGATTTATTCTTGTCTCGTTTTTCGAATTAGATATACCCGCTCATTGATGAATTTACTATTGAAATTTTAAAGTATTCTTTTGGAGGATTTTAATAGGAAGTTCTTGTATATTTCATGGATAAATTCAATAAATTACTTTTTAAGGATAGTTAGAATGGCTTATTAAAGTAAAACCACAGTCAGGAATAATTTTAAATGTTCATTAAAATTACCAAAAAAACAAGAGGCCCAGAAGGCTTGTATCACTCACCTGGATATCTAAGTAATCATGGCAAAATATTCTCCAAATGAGATCCAAGGGAATATGCCAGACCCCAAGGCCAATCCTTGTAGCATATCTGTATTACATTCTTCATGCCCAGCAATTTTATGTATGGTTACGGGGTGGGAATCTCAACTGTTTCCAAGCTGTGACCCCAGGGTCTATTCTAATATCATGACTGCATTCGTGTCTTTTTGCCCAGCATTTTTATTTATAGTTTTGGGGTGGGGATCTCAACCGTTTCAAAGTTATGACCCAGGGGTTAAGTCTGCAAAGGTGGGGCAGACCCTGGGATCCATTCTAATATCATGACTGCAATAGTCTCTTTATGCCCAACAATTGTATATGTAGTTTTGGGGTGGGGATCGTAACCATTTTGAAGTTATGACCCTTGGGTTAAGTCTCCAAGGCTGGAGCAGACCCCAAGGCCAACCTGGAAGCATATGTGCAATCATTTCTTTATACTCAGCAATTGTATATATGTTTTTTGGTAGGGGATCTCAAGAAACTAGGTCCCTAGGGGTTCGGTCAGGCCCCAGGATCTATTATAATATCATGACTGCATTCGTCTCTTTATGCCCAGCATTTGTATATATAGTTTTGGGGAGGGGATCTCAACCGTTTCAACGTTATGACCAAGGGACTATGTCTCCAAGGGTAGGGCCAGACACTAGGGCCATCCTGGAAGCAACTGTGCATTCTTCTCTTTATACTCAGCAATTGTATACATAGTTATACGGTGGGGATGTCAACGTTTTCCAAGTAATAAACTTTTTTTGGCCCCACCCATTAGCCCGGGGGCGGAGGAGGGGGGGGGGGGGGGGTCACCAACAAAATTTG